AGCACGTAAAAACGTCATTACTTTTCAGCTGCGTACCAGGCTATACTAAAGAGCCTGAATTTATAAAGAGGCGACATCTTATCCATTTGACATGTCTTTTGCTCGATTGGAATGACTTTTCCTATGGCTTTGACAGACATTCGATTGTTCAAATTTTGTTATAAATTCAGTCTCTTTACAGTATACCTTACTTTCTATTTTAATATTTACGATTTTACAGACACACTCACACCCACTCTCGCACAATATTCAACTGGTATGCAAATCCTAGAAAATGAAAGGGAAAGCAAACAACACATTCTCTTCGCCTTAGACCCCTTAGACAGCGAGTCCGTCACCACGTTTACTAATCAGTGATGTATGAAAGATGCCTCGCTGGATACGCTCAAGGCTGGACGGGTGGTAGCTGGTGGCCACGAAAGGTTCCTGAGGAAAGCAGTAGAAGCGAACCTCCTCCCAGATGACCACGGCAATGCAAGGAAATTTGTGTTCGTCAAAGGAAGTATTAATTAACATGGTGACACCAGTCCAAATACTTTTTACAATATAAAAAAAAATAAACTGCATACCTACGTGCCAGGATTCAAAATAACATTTTAAAACTGGAAGTGTGTGTGTAATCAAATATATAATATTAACAATATGATCCACTCTTTCACTTAGCTGGCGAACCGAACTTTTAACGATAAAAGCACCTCTGTGGCCAAAAAGGCTATCAATGTATTTGTTTATCGTCACGAGGGATAAACCAAATGAAAATTTGTTTAATATTTAAATGAATATATTTCAGCATTTTATATTACTTCATGACAACAGTGACATGTCAGACAAATTTTAAAGTAATATACAGGGTGCGTGACGAATTTTTGCAGTAAATTTCAAATAGTAATTTCTCATGCTTGCGGATCATGATTTAGATATATTTGGCAGCACTGAATTGCTCATACTGTTAGGTGTAAGATGTAAATAAACAGTGTTGAGTAAACGTAAAGATGTCGAAACAAAAGAGCAATCGGTCAGCCGCTGTCGCTTTGTTGCGCGCCGGAGTAAGCGTAATAGAAATAATTCGGTGGATAAATGTGTCTGGAAGAACAGTGTATAATATAAAAAAAGGCCTGGGAAAGTGATAAAACGGAGAACCTGCTCATACTGCTAATAAAACACAGAAATGGCTTGCGGAAAATATTTCGGAATTTTGGGAGAAAGAAATTTGGCCCCCAAGCAGTCCCGATATCAATCCGTTGGATTATTTTGTACGGGGCATCGTCGAAAGGAATACCAATAGAACCCCTAACACCACACTTAAGTCCCTAAAAGCTAAAATCAAGGTAGTGATGACATCTATGGATTAAAAGATTGTCAAACGTGCATATGGCAGTTTTCGGAAACGTCTAGCTACAGTCGTCGAAAGGGAAGGCGATTTTTTTTGAATAAAATTAGTTACAACTTCCATATTTTGCAAAAGAAAATAAATCACATAACATTCATTGCTAGAATAGCTAACTGGCGTAATTTTTCTCAAATATGTCATTTACTGCAAAAATTCGTCACGCACCCTGTACACAATGTAATTAATGAAAATAATTTGACTCTTACTTTTGTAATAAGTGCTATATTCGCACCCCTCGATTGTAATTGAATGATTGTTGCTGACCTTTTTCAACGTTAGATGGTTGCGTGCAGCGCTGCCATTTATACAGATTTATCTGTATTATACAGATTTTTTAATCTTAATACAGACCCGATACAGAATACAGATTTATCACAGATTTTTAAATTACAATACAGATTTATACAGATTTTTATAAAATGCTTGAGAAAAAAATTCAAAATTTATAAAAACAAAATAACTTGCTCGATTTAATCAGCGTACCCCCTTCTCTCCAAAATTAATTGTTGTGCTAAAAACTATATTTTTTGCAGTGGGATCTGCTCGAGGCGTTGCTGTTTCTTTTATGCTTCTCTCACTCCCTCCAACGGAAAACGCAGTCACGCCCGATTCCACTGTGCGTATATATAGCTGCCTTTTAATAACTCATGATGACATCAAAATTTGATGTATTTTTATTTTGTTTTTTCGGCATGCATGCAATAACATGTTGATAACTAAATTTGTAGTCTAAATAAAATATCTATATCAAAATAAGTTATCAAGCAGTTCTCACTAATATCAATATATGTTATAATTTTGATATTCCTCGCATATCTTTTAGCTCTCATTTTTGTTCTGTTAGCCATCAACTCCATCAAAATGAAATCAATTTGAGTTATCAGGAATAATGAAAACAACATAATTCTTGTTTTCATTTTGTTCTCACCCTCTGCTCGGGAACCTATCAAATTTCCATCGACAATTAATCATGTTATGGTGTTTTTGACAGCATTCACAACCAGAGGACCAACCGCTTTCGGATGCATATGGAGCTGGTAGTAAACGATTTGAGATTGTATGGGGATTTACAGTATTAATTGAATATTTCTCGCGTAACATTTGAAAAGGGCCTATGTCCAAAATGTAAACAAACCAGAAAATGAATTGTAAATTTTTCCGCCAGTATTTAATTCCTATATAAATAGATTGAAGTATTTTAGGCATTTATATTGTTCACAATAACAATAGTAACTATATCTCAGTACACAACATCCAAAACATGCGAAACGTTTTCAAAAATACATGAAAATCGATAAAAATTTAATATCACAGTAATAAGCCTTTTTGTGAATCTTTAAATGGTTAGGCCCTTTTTGTTAAGCCGTTGTGCTTGTCATCATAAATTGTAGGCCCTTTGCTAAGCCTTTTCTTAACGTCAAATAAATCATCGGCCCTGCCTCAAGCAGTAGGGCTTAGCTTTGATTTGAAATTTTTCAATCATCGGCCCTTCTACGTCGCTAGGCTTATGAATGGAACCTCATCGAACGAAAAAAAATATATGTTAGGCCCGAGGTTAGGCCGTTTTAGCATGAATGATTGGAAAAATTTGGTGGATCGGCCGTTTTTAAAATCAAGTTATTTTTAATGATTTGTATCGATAATGCGGAACATTCCTATACGACTGGTAGCTAATTACCAGTGCTACAGAATGGTATCAAAAATCGGTTTGTTTACATTTTGGACATAGGCCCTTTTCAAATGTTACGCGAGATTTCTAATATAAGCATGTATGTCAAATACAAGAAAAGTGCCCGAGCACATTAAAATGGTACAAATACAAGTACTCGTTAACATTTTACTTGCATTGAACATGTATTTCGTAAGAAATTGCGGATTTTCTGATATTCTCCATACTGCAAAAATGATTTTACCAGCACTGGCGGGGCGACATCTCTCGACTTTTCGGTGTAACTACCACACAAATGATGTAATTAATTGTATTCATCTATATTAAAAATATCAAATAGTAATGAACTCGTGCACTTTTTTGCATTTAAAACTGCTTATCAGGAAGATAATGAATAGAAACTAAAATCTCCATACATTTTCAAACGGCTTCATATCACTCTTATAAATAAGTACGGGCGATATCACAAATGGCGCAATTATATCCCGTATGGTTAGTACGATAGCCCGAATAGGTGGTTAAGCACTTTTTATGGTTATTTTGTATGCACTGTATTTTTAAAACAACAAAACATGATTAATTAAGAAAAAAATCGTCAATACAGAAAATACAGATTTTTTAATAGAGTGGATACAGATTTTTTATAAAACCACCTGGCAGCTCTGGTTGCGTGAAGTAATATTTTGCGGGTCGCCATTGCAACATATGGAAAAGGCATGAATGGATCATATTGTTAATATGATATATTTGGTGTAATACTAATATCCAATTGATAAAGGTAATACATACATGTGGGGCTTATAGTAAGTGAAAGTAACCTCGGAGTGGGCGTGACTCTCCAGACATTCTGAAATTCAAATTGTCATTTGGGTTGGACTATTTGCCATCTGGTAGCGCCATTCGACCTTTTGTCCTTCTGGGCGTTTTTTTTTTAATTCAACCGTTTGTCCCCTTTCTCATACATCATTCGACCTTTTAAACGTTAGACCTTTTCTTCTGCTTCTCATCATTCGATTTGTCTCTCTTTGAATCATTCGACCTTTAGTCCATTCAATTTTTTTGTATTTTATACCATTTATCATTCGACATTTTGTCCATTCGACCTTTTGATTTTGTCCCTCTTTGAATCGTTCAACTTTTTGTCTCTCTTTGAATAATTCGACCTTTTGTCCCCCTTTTAATCCTTCGACCTTCTGTCCTTTCGGTTTTTTCTCATTCGTCGTTTTGTCATTCGACCTTTTGTCTTTCGACCTTTTGTTGAACAATCTCTTTTAAAAATCCTAAAAAAAAAGTTTCGAAATTTGCACAGACTCTTGAAAATACTTTCAAAGCAGCCCAATAACATTCGATCTAACGGCCTTCGAAAAACTTAATGTTTCTGCAACTCAAGCAAATTTTGAGGCTCGGAGAACTTGAAATATGAGCTTTGAAGTTTTTTACATTTGTCAAGAATCTTGAACTGAATTTATTGTTGTTACTGAGTTCGGAGGCAGGAGGGTACCGTTATTAGATTCGTGCCAGTGAAAACGCAAAGTGGAGGGATTCCGTGCATCTTGTCCTTAATCACTCCAATTTGTGTTTTGTGTAGCTCTATTGAATTCACGCAAACTAAGTTCACAAAGCATTCTTTAGTCCAGTTGCATATTCTTATCTCTAAGCAAACTATCGACTTAACTTCGCATTACTAAACTGTTGTTCGATCACACAGCAACAGCACTGCACCGAAGCGTCTAGTTTAATGTTCAACAACAACAACCACTTGAACAAACGCCTCCTCCAACGAACAGATTTACCTCGTTATCAAGAATTTTCCCATACCTCTCAAGCCACCTACACTTACGTTAGATAGTTTCTAAATAACAAGTTCGAACTATCCTACTGTGCTCAATCGAAGAGTTCAACCTTCATGGTGAAGGTGGGGAATTCTCCCGAACACTTGATTTGCTAAAAATCTTCACGTAGCGTGAGAAATTAAGCTCCGTGCGCTGCTGCCGTGAGCTGGTAAACCTCAATCGCGAGTTATCTATATCCGCGCTCAGTTCTACTCCGGAGCTGAACGCGATCGGTCAGCGCGAAAAATTTCACGATCAACATACGTCGTTGCGAAAGTTTCTTTTTCCCATCGAGTCCTCCTCACGTTGACGAAGGTAATTTAAGACAAGTGATAATTTATGTGGCAAACTGGCACGGGTTTTTCGGGGAAAAAAAAAGATGACCAAATGATAATTAGGTTCGACGTGTAGTGAAAGTGTTTGCGGTTGGAAATGATCGTTTGTTTACAGCGGTGTTCTGACACCTGGCCGAGAATGAATTTGGAGAGATTACATAAATTCGAAATTAATCGGACCCGATCGCTTCTAGCTGATGGGGGATCTCAAATTCCTCCCACTACCGGTGATACTGACCACATCGCTCAGCGGAGCGATCCGAAACCTGATAAAAATAGACAACCCGTACCGCGAGGAATCTCGCAAGAAATGGAGAGGACACAATATTTTCATGTTTGATGGTTTTTTTTTATCTCCAACTTTTCTTAGTCTATTTACAATGGGAGAGTGAAAACAAACGCGAAAAGGTTTTTCAACTTGCAATATTTATAAAAAAAAAAAAATGTAAATAGGGGTTTTGACCTAATTTCCGTCCTACGAACGGATTTGATCAACTAAACTGAATGTTTCTACTAAAAGTACTAAAGATGACTTCTAAATGTATCTACCTGTTCATACGTACAGTTAGTTTTGATAGAGTTACAAATTGTTGCAATATTTTTTTTTTTAATCTTACACTGCTACTTGAATCAAATTCCGCCATACGATTTTCTTCGTCATCCGGAGGATGTTAAAGGAAAAAAAAGTGGTTAGCTAGGAGTGTTACTTTTGTTTTTAATGCGTGTATATATTCAAACTTTGCGCGCTTTTAGGCTTCGTTTTGTTACTTTCGAAAAGTAGTCGCAAAACAAACGTGATTTGTGCACGTCGATGTTTTCTACTCGATAGAGCGGAAATAGGCGATCACAACGAAGGAGAGCTCTACCCTATATGTGACAACGTGACGCACAGTGTGACCCTGTCGGAATGGAATATTTTCGGTGCGAGAATTTGGCACCTTAATTGTCAATATTTAAACGCCAACTTCAAACGCAAATTCAAATATGGCATACTTTATGGACGGCAAGGTCTGAGCCAGATGGCAGCTTTTCAAACATGACATACTTGTTGTTCTGCATTCCTGGATTTTTTTTTAATAATCATAGGTCGTTAATCTTCTAACTAATTTGGTTTGCATTTACGTGTTTACGTTTTCCGATTGCTTCTACGTAAAAAAAAACTCAGTCAACGAGTCATTATCGCAAAATCGTATGACGTAAAATTCGTTTTGGGATGTAGAATGAATAGAAATCATTCCGAGATGGTGGATACTGTTCGATCACTTGTCTTTGATAAACGATGGCCATGATTTTACGTTTCACGGTCGAGTGATTACCTGAGCAGCTGAATGCGAAAACAATGTGTTAATAACGATCAGCATTAAAATAATTACCAGTCAAATGGAAGGGCAACTGCTGTTGACAACTGTTTAATTATTCTCAGGAAGTAAATGTAGTAGAAGAAATACGCAGAAGCACTGGATGTATCTTGTTATGGTCAGTTTGTTCAACCTATCCTAAAAAAATCTATCACGTGGTGGAAGTTGGCATCGCTATAAACAGTAAACAGACGGAAGGCATTTATCCAATGCACAATGAGTGGGAATATGAATACAGTAGTGCTGATAATCGAAATAAATGCGGTGTTTTATGCCAAGCAAGTGCTATACTTACTGTGGTGTATCGGGAATCAAGAGCAAATACTAATTGACAACTAGTTCAATCAAGAGTGAATGTTTAAAGGTTTGTCACAGGAAACTAGATTGCTGTGATCATTTCCGGTTCCGTTGTTGATCGCTCCTAGCAACTCCAGAAGTAAAGGCATGGCTGCTACGCCAAAATCCTCTCCTAGCGCCGAGGTGATTGAACAACTCGATTATAGCAGGTAACGTATGACCTACTTGATTGATAACCAGTTAGATCTTCTTCCGTTTCCAACTCTTTGAACGACTCGTAGCACATATCAGTTTCCGATCTATCATTAAATTTTATGACTTTAGGTTGCTTGGTTGGACTTCTCGCTTTAATTTTCATCTCTCTAGCGAACATAAGCTTGAAAGGACTTTCTCTTGTCGTTGTATGTTTTGAAGCTCGATACATTTCTAGGAATGAAATCAGCGTCACGGATCACTGGACAACTTCTTCAGGGCTGTCTTCAGCGTCTTGACCACATTCTCTGCAGAACCAGATGCAAAAATTTCGGAACTCGACCGACGCGAACGCAGTTCTATCAACCTCTATGGTTCCATTATCGGATAGATCCAAATCTTGAAATGTATTCACCTAACTTCGCGATCGTTTCCTTGGATGTCAAATTGCGTACCGGGAAAGCTTCAATCCACTACACTGGTAGAAGATTTTTTGATTTTTGAAGTTTTCTGAAGTACTGTATTTCTGCTCTAAAGATTTACGAACTGCCTTTAGTTCAATAAATTTCTAGGTAGATCTCCGAACTTCTCTAAAGTTCTGTTGATTTCTTTGTGGATTCTTGGATTTCCATAAAGTTCTGCAGATTTATCAACAATTCTATGAAATTCTCCAAAACTCTACAAATTATCTAAAAATATTTGAACTTCGCTGAAGTTTTAAAAATTTATCTGAAGATTTACAAATTTCTCTGAAGTTGTGAAAATACTTCTAAAGATCGGCGAACTTTCCCAAAGTTCTGTGAGTTTTGTTGAAGTTTTGCATTTTTTTCTAAAAACGTACGAACTTTTTGACGTTCTACAGACTTCTCTTAAGGTCTACGGATTTCTCTGAACTTCTTCAGATCTATCTATTTCCAAATTCAATGGAGTTCTGCTTGGTTTTGGAATTGAGGTACTTTCCTGATATTTAACGAATTTTTCTGAAGATCTCACAATTTTCTGAAACTGTGAAGTTTTCTGAAAAATTCATGCAAATATCTTTAAAGCTCTGTAAAGTTCTATTCTCAAGATCTACGAAAAAAACCTTGAGGCTCAATAAATTTCTCAGTAGATCTGCAAACTTCGCTGAAGTTTTGTAAATTCCTCTGTAGGCTCTTGGGCTACCCTGAAGATCTGAAAATTTCCCTGAAGATCTTCTAAATTACCTAAAGTTCTCAAAATTCATCTGAAAATATTTGAGCGTTCTTGAATTTTTAAATGTCTCTCTCAAGGTCTACGAATTTCCCTGAAATCGTATAAATATTTTTTCTTAAATCACCGAACTTCCCTGAAATTCGGCAAAATTTTACTGAAGATCCATTAAAATTTCTGAGATTCTAAAAATGTATCAGCAAATCTGCACACTTTCTTGAAGGTCTTCAAAATTATCTGAAGATCTGAAAACAATAAATAAATAATATAGTTCGTTTCAGCGTTGCCAGATATACCGATTTATCGGTATTTATACCGATTTCCGAACTAAATACCGACATACAGAATACCGATTTTTGAGGTTTTATAATGATTTATAACGATTTTTTAAATAATCAAAATGATTATTGCCTGCCCACGCTCAGAATTACGGAAAAAAAATTACTGTGAGAGACTTGTATCTTTTTGAATATCTAAAAAAAGTTTGAGCCTTTAAAATTACGAATCGATAAACAGTCGATGGTTCTTTCTGGTAATTCCGGGGGAATCGGGAAATACTTTTTAAAAATTATTTTACTTCCTGAATTTTCTTCCACCTTACATCGTAAATTATTTTACGATTCCTCTCGGAAACTTATTTCGACTTCCCTTGGAAGCTTCTTCAGCCTTCGCTCGCATGATTCTTCCATCTTTTCCCGCCAGTTTTTGCAACTTTCCCGGAACTTCAGGGATGCTTCCAGATTGTGATTGCGGATCCACCCTAGCTGCAGTTAAAAAGTTCTGAAACTTCAGAAAAGTTCAGACTTTTGGGTCCAAAGAACTTCTGGAAAATTTAATGGTTTTCAGGACCGATTGAGAGAATTATAGGAAGCTCCGAGGACAGATCAATAAATTTCAAGGAAATCGCTGAAATTTTAAAAGAGTTCTGAGAAACTCAGGCAATTTCCGAAAACTTCAGCAATGTTCTGAGGGACTCATGCAAATTTAAGAAACGTAATGGAAGTTACATGAACATTAGCACATTGTGAGAACATTTTATGGGAAGTTCCGTGCTTATTAATGGCAGTGTCTTTTAAAAATTAGAAAAATCGGGAAGATCAGAGAAATTTATTGCTGATGTTGCATAAATTCAAGAAAATTGTGAGAGCGCTTAAGAAATTTCGTAATCTTCGAGAAATTCTAGAGACCTTCAAAGTTGATTAGTGATATTCCGGTAGTCTCATTATAATCTGGGAAGTTCCAAGTATTTCAAAGATGATCAGAGTATTTCAAAAAAATCCTATTAACTTAAGGAAAATTACAAGAACTTTTAAGTAATTGCGAAAAAATATGGAATATTCCTAAGTACATTTCAGGAATGTTCCAAAAACTTCAGGGGTATTGCGGGGTCTTCAGGGATGTTTTATGACCATTTGGAAAATTTTCTGGATCATTAGAACATCCCCAAGAGCTCTTTCTTCCGGAATTATGTCCTCGTTTCATTCGACTGTCTGGTTAGCGCTCTGGCTTCCGATTTCCTCCAAAAAAAATTCCAATCTACCTTAGCAAGTTTCTGTCAGCGTGTCCAGGAAGTTTCTTCCGTTTGCTTCAGGAAGTTCAATCAAACTTCTCCCAGAAATTTCTTTCGTCTAGTTCTGGAATTTTGTCCAGTTGGTTTTTTTTTACTTCCAGATTTTTTTTACTAAAAGTTTTTTTTTTAATTTTTGCCAGAAGATTCTCAATGTATGTCTTGGAAGTTCCGCGGATGTTTTTCCGACTTCTCTCAGAACTTTCCTCAAATTTCCTCCAGGAGAGCTTCTTTCCTCATTCTCTGGATGTTGTATTCAGCTTCCTCCAGAAGCTAATTCAAACATTCTCTGGAGTTTTCTTCCGGAATTTTCCGATCATAGTCCAAAAGTTAAAACTTTCGCTTTCAGAAACGGCAAAAATATAAAATTAATTA